ATATGAATGTAATATACATCTGGAGTGCCTTGAAGATTTATGATACTTGTGATATACATATACATATGTTGGATACAAAGGAAGAAACGCGCAACATATGCATATGTATGTATATACGTATGAAGGAAATTATGTTGTAGGTAAATATGGGTAGATATATATATAAATATATATAAAATATTTTTAAAGTATATTATATTAATATAGTTTTATGTACTTGACACACGCAACTCTATCACGAGAATTGTATTATTTTTCGGAAACTCGTGTTCCCACGTAATCTCATTATCGTCGAGTCGAAAACCAATTACTGACACATACTGACACACTGCGCAATGTATTGTGAACAATACGCGTGGTCTTACCATGAAGAGGTAGCGTTAAAGATCCAAATAAAGAACATAATTTTTTTTAACAAAAGTCGTTGCAGTTGATGACGTATTGTGAATCTAAGTTGTGACTCTATTGGCGCAAGTAATTATCTTGACTTTATCGCATGGCGTCGAGTGTTGGCGCCCAAAAAAAAAGGAGATATGTCCACCGACACGTTTTCTGATACATACAATGATACGAAAATTATAACGAAGTATCCAGAAATTCGACACCGGACGCATCATTTAGAATTTTATATTTTACCGGTCCATTTTAATTATCCGTAGTTTTGTAATGCTAACGTGCATAATGAACATTGTCAATTTACGAAACATTGCTTAAAAAAAAAGAAATGAAAACAAATGAAAGAATCATTAGAGATAATAAATGTGCCGTATCCTTTACATGTGCATTTCATTGCCGCCACTGTATTATCAAATTTTTTGATACTTGTTAAATATTTATTTTTCACGTTGCTTACTAGGCTTAAAGTCTTTTATGTTTTTCAGGAGTAGTACGCGTATTTTCGTTAATCTTATATACTTACTGTTTAATGTTATTCAGCGAAGAGAAATAGAAACCTTTGTTCTATCGTAGGAAAACCTGGCGCAATATTAAGTGCATTTTCTAACTAGCCTTTTCATTACTTCATTTGCCTCTGCAATTCGACGAGCACTTGAAACTAGTCAACTCGCTTCTGTTGACTTTTAATTCCGCAATATGCCTCTCGATGACCATCGACCTAATCTCTTTCCTTTGTACAATAAAAGCATACTTTATTTCTGATTATATATAAGATTCGTTTAGGAAAAATAAACAGATGCATCTTTAATATTTATTATACAGACACATAATATATTGATTGTACAACACGCAGTAACACTGTTATTAATTATTATATGTGTACAAGAGTGTATCAAAGAGAATAACGAGACAAATTTAATTTTTAATAAAATATTTATTTAATCTTTCAACTCAAAATATTTTCCCTGCACTCATCCAATTCCTTTTGCCACGTTTAAGATAGAGAATTGAATTTATTAACGGTAAGGCGCGCGCAAATTATTTTTCCTCGCACCTTTTCCATGCAACTTTTACTTCCGTATGATTAATTAATTACAAAAATTCTTTGTGCAAATCAGTCTCATTAGTTTTTGATGTACACTCTTGCACGGTTTATAAATACGTACACATACATACACATATACCGTCCATCACAAGACTGCCATTTTCAACTACGGATTTCTTCTCTCCCTGCAAAAATGTAATATAAATTAGTAGAGCGTCTCAGACAGCAATATTTCTCACGAAAAAAAAAAATCTAATTTAGCTCAGATGGTAGTGCATGTAAAACTAATCACAATAGGATAAAATCTTTTAGAAAATTTTATCCTGTTATTTCATACGCATAATATATCATCATGTTATTTATACTTTTGTAGTATCACAATGTGTGCGATTTATAACAGTGATTCTTACCAATTTATCTGTGCAGAACGTGGAGTTTACCATGGCGTCGTGATCCTGAAAAACAAATGTATCGGCATAATTAATTTATATCCTTGGGCTTCGTTTCAACAAATCTAAATTAACATAAGATTCCTCAGTTGGTAGTGCATGTATGAATGTAATCATTACGTCATACTCGATCAAACTCATCCTGTTAATTGGATTTGAACAAAAAATTGCCGATGTGACAGGCAAGATATTTGAAGCCTAATCTACAATGTGCTCTCTGCGACTAGAAACATTCTATTTTGTGATCAATAAATACGTTTAACAAATTTGTGCAAGTTGAGAAATTATATATTATACATAGTGTAATCGTACGTCGACAAATTTTTCAAGCGTTTTGATTTATTTATATAAAATGTTTCTGGATGCAGAAAGCACATTGTAGATTACGCTTGAAGGATTTGAGATGCACACAAGAATACAAAGACTACATTCAAATATTACAACACACGGCATATTAAGTTAACAGAATTATATCTTTCTAGACTGGGACACAAATTGGAGATCCTTCAAAATCTGCGCTCAAGTATAAGAAATACATATCGAAATATAGACATTACGTTAAAACGATAGCATACATTAAACTAATAAGTAGGATTCCTGAATTCTGAAAAAAATTGCGGAAGCAAAACGTGCTCGTGCAATCACTTTTTTTTTTACTTTCCAAAATCAACGGCGGTTAATAAGTACATATCCAACTCGGCAATAAGAAATAAAGTCTATCGCGAGCGTGTATATCGCGATAAGGTGGACGATTGCGGTGGATGCACGTGGATTACGAATCGCGAGCTCGATGGTCTCGAGAAACCGGTCTATCGCCCAGTATCGTATTTTAATCACGCGCGACCGCAGCAGTAAAATTACCGGCCATTATAATAATCCTCTCGCCTCAACCTTGCCGAACGCCGTCGATTTCTCTCACCTCTTGCAATTTCACGATACGTGAGCGTCGTAAACCACCTCGAATCCCGCACGTCTCGCCATCACCGCCGTCGTTGCCGACACTCCGTTCATTTGTGGCGTCGGTGTGGCTTTGGGCAGTATTCATAGTTCGAATTGATTTTAAGGCCTGTATCCACGATACTAGAA